CACCAAGGTCAGGGCTGGAGTTAGGAAGCTGCAACAGCCACCTGCTCCCCACCACAAAAGGAGCCTGATCCTAAGTCATTTAAGTTACTAAAAGGTTTGCTATTTAGTTCCCAGGAATCAAGAGCACAATCCTAATGCACCGCCTTTAGATTTGAAACGGGAGGTCTGCTCTTGCCCACTTTTAAGGAACAAAGTTGGCCAGGCACCTTACCTGTCTCCATTTTTGTCCAGCTGCATCTCCTCAGTGCTCCCATTCGATCCAAAAAGAGTCATATAAATACTGGTGTCAGTGCCAGCACCTTGGTGGTCTCCAGTCACAACTGTAACTTCATAGAGAACCTAGCAAGAGTGGAAGCTATCAGGGAATGTCACATTGCACACAGCTATTCTTAACTCAACCAAAAGCCTGAGCAAAGAGCTGATTAGGCTCTGTACTTTGTCTGCTTTTTAAGTGCACTAATCAGAAAGATACCATTCCTGGTCTCCTAATTCCAGTGTATCCCAGTACTAAGATACTGGCAAAAGTTACTATGTAATGTTTCCCTTTTCGTCATCTAACCTTTTCAGCAGCTATAGCATCTTCTGACAGCCCACATAATGAAGTTGAGTGAGAGACCCTGTTGTCATACATATGTACACTTGGGGAGTGCTGGGCACCTGATAAGCAGCAGTGCCATGTAATAAGTGGCTGCTCTCATACAGCCTTATCTGCTTTGCTGACAAATACACCTCCCTCCAACTGGATCCCAACATTACAAACTTCTGGGCAGCTTCAAAACTTTGCCATTAAAAAAATAAGATTCCCAGAGAAAGGCTCGTTCCTTTTTCTCAAATACAGGATGTATCTCCAGAGTGCTCAGTGGTAGTGGGGAGCTCTGAATAGTGTCTGTTCCCAGTTTCCAAATGGGATATACATTTGGTCTGGGGTCTGCAAGGTAGGCCAGTTGTTGTATTGGAAAGCTAGTTTGGCTTATTTTCAATTGTCTTCCTCTGAAGTGTGAATACCTGGACTTATCAGGTAGACCATTTCCAAAATACCTAAATCTCGACTTTCAGGGGAATTAAGGCTCCTAGGTCCTCTTAGTTGCCTTTCACATATTTACCCCTAGTAACAAAGGCAGCTGGGTTTGTCAGTGGAAAGATATTGAAAGCAGTTCCAACGCCAGACACGACTTAATGCTGTGATGCATGAGATAAGTTTTATCAGTATGAATTGTAGGTACTGCATTTCTCAAGAGCAGAGCAGAAATAACTTCAAGAAAAAACTGCTTTCAAAATGTTCATTTGCTTTTGAGTAATGCTTCCCTTCCAAGCTCATAAAAACAGACATTTTTAAACCTTGATACACTATCCTGGATCCTGTTTATACCATATATTGAAAAGGAAGAACCCCCGCACCCCGCAATCCCTCCCCCTCTATTTTGCAAGTGTTTTAGAGTCTTTTTAATCTTGGTAATGGCACAGTAGCTTGTTATCCCATGTCTGTCTCAATGTCAAGAATCCAAATGAGAGAAATAAATCAAAGAGCAACAAATTCAAATAGATGCATTCAAGTTATGTGGCGACTGTGCAAGACCAGAAGGAAAATTAGCCATTAACTTTCTTAATCTAGCTAAAAGCCCTTGTTCCCATCAGTGCTAACTAATTAAACTCATTTGGGATTTGTAATCTAATCTAAGGGAAAATTGGCAAAAAAGGTTCTGAAACTGTTCAGAACATGAAACATACTCTTCTCATAGTGTGTGCAAGGCACTTCCCCTGGTTTCTGTCAAGCCTTCCAGAAAATAATTCAGGTCGATGAATTCACTTAAAGCAGCAGTGGTCAGAATTGGGTTTTTAAAGGAAAACTGAGCTTAAACCTTAATGTAAATATGGATTATGGACAAGACATTAGGTCACTGATACAAGCCTTTGGAAGTTGTCCAGGTGGATATTAAAGACCTGGGGGGATGTTTCAAAGAGGGTCTACATTAACCTCAGTGTCCTGCCCCCTTGCTCTGACAGAGGTTCTGTTGGACATTATCCATGGTTAAGAGTTGCTCAGTCCCTAAAAATCTTACCACTTTTTATTTCCCCGGGATACATAAAATACTTAATTCACTTTGAAGTCAGGAGCCATATACATGAAATTAATGTGTAACCAGCAGTGTGATCCAGCAGCAACTATAGATTTACCTGTCCAGCTCTGAAACAGCACAAAGACATTAAATACGGTCTGTGTTTAATTGTCCACTCATATGTATTACTGCATATTTCTACTATGAATCATATATTTAAGGGATGTGTAATCCGGTCTTTTTAATTTGCGTTGGAATATGAAACAGAACATCTTGCCTCAAATTTATGCATACACAGAGTGTTTTGGGGCTGTCCTGTTTACTGTCTTTGTTATATTTGACTCGAATCATTTTGGTACTTGTTTCAGAAAAGGCAGCTGAATGTTGAAAAACAGTTTGCACACAATCTCCCCCCCACCCCCACCCCAAACTTTGCATATACAAAAATATCTTAATTTATTATCTTTGAAATTATGTCCCAGGAATACACAACCGATTTACATATTATTATAAGCTATTTAAACATTAGTAAATATTTGCAGTGCTTTGTAATAGGCAATGAGACAAAGGAAATTCCTGAAATATGTAAGTTCACTTTGTAAGTAGAAATTTCAGCTTCCTGGAGTTGCTACAATGCAGTCACTTTCAAAGCTAGAGTTGGCAGGGTGGGATCTGGTATGATATACACTGCATGCACGTATGTAGATGAAGCTTTTAATGCAATTGTTAACAAGATCTAAAAGATTTGCGAACATACCTTGAGACCAATGTTAATGCAGTCGGCATCCACTATGTTGAAGACCCGTGACGTGCGCCCATCCCCTTTATCTCTGGCCAACCAACAGTTGCAGACAAAGTTATACATGACACCTTTTGTGGGCACAACCAGTGTCATTTCCTCCACCAGCCAAGCGCTTTCTGGTGTGCCACCATCGTGCCCCACCTGTGACAGTCAGACATAGGAAGAGCTGTTAAAGGAAACAGGGACAGGTCCAGGGATCCTGAGAGAAGTGGATCAGAGGAGGTATTTTGACTGGTAATGGGAGAGACATGCTGTTATGTGTACCTCTCCAAGGCAGCCACCTCCAGGATAGGACAGAGAAGCTGTGAAACAGGGCATGAGATTCCTATACAGATGAAAGTCTTTCAGTATCTGTTGGAGATAATATGGTTGGGAAGTTTCACATCCTGCTTCTGGGCATGCTTTTAAAATCTAGACCATACCCACATGGAAATAAGGATATTAAGTAGGCAGAAGACTATTGCCTATATCGAAACAGAAGAAACACTCCTATTGGTGTAACAGGGATGACGCCTCATTACATCACTCTCCCTCACTCCACACCAATTGTGATGTGTACAGCCATCCGTTGGTGACTCCTCCTACTTTACATCCCAGCCACCTCTTATGGCTTTATTGAACTGAGCTATAAGGCCAAAACCTTTCATCAGACAAAGCCCTCCCTCAGACCCAGCTCCGCAGTGACACCTAGTAGAAATCATCCCAAACCTAGATGCCAGAATGAGGGACAACTGAGGAAATATTGACTATCCACCCCCTGCCAATGCAAGTCTAGATACACCAAAATCACATATACTGGATGTGATTTCCTCTTCCCCAACCATAGTGCATTGCTCATCATCTTAAATTGTTACTTCCTAAGAGCAGAAAGTGTGTTTGCTTCTTTGCATGGCACCTGGCACAGTGGAGTGCCAATCTTAATCAGCCTTTCTACCACACTAAAAATACTAATGGGATTTTTATTGACCACCTGCGTTCAGAACCTCAGCCAAAAGCTGGTATCTGAAGCAATACTGTAACTCCAGCATTGTGTTGGGCATTGGTTCACAGTCCTTCCTCCAGGTGAAACAAGCCTTGTTCCCAGTCACCAGCACCAGCAAGGACTTTTCTGGGAGGTCTCCCAAATAGGCACCGAATGAGCCAGACCCTTCTAAGCTGGAGAGGGTCCAGCCACACACAATCACTAAGGGTTTAAACTTCTGTGAGTGTCTGTGTGTCCCTGTTCATAACTTGGGAGATTCATCTTAGCACATTCTTATCAGCATAATTATGTATCCCAATCACCAGAGAGAAAAACTCTTTCAGTCTAATGAACAAGCTGTTCACAAAAGGCTGGAAATAAGAACAGTCGACAGGTCATTATTTTCACAGCCAAAGTTGCTAGTTATTAACAGAAATACAGAGCCCTGAGCTCTCCATTTTTAAAAATTATTTCCTGAGCAACCCTAAATAGCCTCATAATTTGTTTGGTTTTTTTCTTGCAATAACAGCTCCATCTTACATGATGGATCTACAGTATCTTCCCCACCCAAAAACAAATGATCATTTTTATCTGACTGCCTCAGCTATCAGTGCTATTAGGAGTATTATTACAATACTAATGTCTGTGCAGCTGCAGAAAATTAGAGTTAACCACTAGGGAAATTCAAGACTACAATGGATGCATTAATTCTTGGATTCCTGGGGTGTGAGGTGAATGGGAATACAACACTTGTTTTTCAGCTCCCTCCATGCCAAATCAGCTGCCAAGCCCCTTTGAGATGTTAACTCTTTTTTTTAAATCTGCAGTGTGAT